ATTGACAAACACTGCTTTACAGACCCGTGACAGTTGTAAATGCAAGGATTGGTGGTTAAGTTACTTCATCACCTCATAACTATGCTGGCTGGGGAATTCTGGGAGTTGAAGTCCATGGATCTTAAAGTTGCTGAGATTGACAAACACTGCTTTACAGACCCGTGACAGTTGTAAATGCAAGGATTGGTGGTTAAGTTACTTCATCACCTCATAACTATGCTGGCTGGGGAATTCTGGGAGTTGAAGTCCATACCTCTTAACGTTGCTGAGAATGAGAAACACCGCACCACAAATCTGCACGGCTCCCACCTAATCCAACTTCAAGCCGTCTTTACAAATCTGCTTTTCCCCCAGGCCTGGGACTACATAGGTCGGGCCGGTCCCCTTCTAGTTGCGGGAGAAGAGGTATGTTACGTTTTGCGGTCTCCTTCATACACCAGTTGGTTTTTATATCCTGTTGTGTATTGTTTTATGCATAAGGGTGTGTTTTTAGTCTTGTGACGCTGCCCAGAGTTCTTTTAGGGTCAGGCAGCCTAGAAGTTTGACCAGAAACAGATAAAATAGGTAAAACAGAGGGAAACTGGTAGTTTTCGTGCTAGGTGCCGGTCTTCTGCATTGTAACAAGGTTCGCCTCTCTGTTCTGGATGAATGGGAATTACTGGATTTAATACCCAGCTACAAGCACAGAAGGCCTCTTTGCATAAGAAATTATAATTGCAGCTTTTCTTCCCCCAAAACTACAGCTTTGGTGACCTCTGCTGGGCACAAACTCTCCTAACACCTCAGCAGTTAGGACCAAATTTTGAAAGATTCCTGTAGAGCAGTTTTTTCCAAACTTGGCCATTTTAAGATTCCCATGTTCTGCATGTTTGCTGGCTGGGGAATTCTGGGAGTTGAAGTCCACACATCTTAAAATTGCCAAGGTTGAGAAGCACTACTGTAGAGAATATGCCATCCACATTTATTCATTCATTTATTGTGTTTTCCCTCCATGCAATGAAGCTGGAAGTGACTTTGGGTGGCAGGAAATGTTGCAAAGTTATATATAAAAATCCATCTAAATCTACCTGCAGGTAGAAAGCTAGCATTGCAGGAACAGCACTAAAATAGAGCTTCTGGCTTTGCTGCAAGTATTCTCTCTCTTAATTTGAAGAAATGTTTGAAGGAACGTTCCACAGAAAAACATTCAAAAACAATTCCACCTCCCGCAGTCTGAAAAGATCCCAATACTGACATGTACGGTTGAAGAAGTATTGTGGTAAACTTGCTCTGGAGCATGATGGGAAAACAAAATGGCAGCTCACTGAGCCAGGTGGCGACCATGATCAGCATGGTGATTGCTGTGCTGGCCAGATGTTTCCACAGGTGGTCAAAAAAGTCAAGATGGCCACCACGTTGCATGTCAAAATGGGCAGGGTTTCCATGGCAGAGTTGTGGCTGCCATCTTGACCTTTTTGACCACCCCTGCAGACACCCCTGAGCCCACTCTAACCTGAAGGAGCAACATTTGCTGGCCCCATCCTATCCAGCAGCATAAGAGTAGGCCCAGGACAATTGTTTATGGAGTTGCAGCTGATATTTTCATTCGGAGCAGCATTGGGAAAAAAAACTCTGGTGACTGACCTATAGTTAAGAGTTCAGTATGGGATGAAGAGTTTTATATCTGTTAATTAAGAGAAGGTGAAGAGATAGTGAAACTGTTTATACCTGTAACGAAGGTGGGAAATTCCTTTCTTAGTTTTCTTTTCCTTTTTCTATTTTTTTCTTTTCTGTTTTCTTGCACCTTTTATTCTTTCGATTTTTCTTTTTCTTTTTAATTTGCATTACCTTTTACCACTGTAGTTAAAACCTTTAATAAAAATATGATTAAAAAAAGACTTTGAGAAGATTAATGCAAAGTGAATGAGAAAACAGATCTTTTCCTCCTCAATAAAACAGAATCAATACATCCCGCAGAACGCAAGCCCCCAGACAGAGCGAGGCTTCCGGTCTGGAGGGATCTGGTCACTCTGCTCAAGAAAATCAGAGATCTGAAAGAAGTACCATCCGGCGTCTGCAGGGCACCCAACGCTGAAAATGGCAACTAGGAAGAAAAATCAGGAGAGAGAAAACAGGCCGTTTTCGTTGCAAAGACAAGAGATCAAAGTTAGGAGTTGTGGCTTGTGATTTTCGCAGTTCAACCCAAGTTGGAGTCTTCCTTCCCAGAGTGGGGAGGGGGGGACACCCTCCCTTTTCCCCCAAGTCCTTCCCATCCCCAGGATTGGGCGTTCACGGCCCCTGCTCCTCCAAGCCAAGGGGAGGGGGCTCTGTCCTTGGGCTGGGGGTCTCAGCACTCAACCCCATAGCGGTCAAAGTTGCGGAGGAGCACAGCCAGCTGGAAATGCACGGTGCCCATCGCGCACGTCTGCAGGCGGTACCGGTCAGCTCCAGTGTAGATCAAGTCGCTGCTGAGCAGCTGCGGGCCCCCCCCCACAAAGAGCTGGGAGAGCTGCTCCTGCCAAGAGCCCAACGGGCGCCAGGTGACGCACTCCAGCTGGTGGAAGCCGGGGCTGGAGGGCACGTGGCAAAAGCCGTAGCCGAACAGTTCGGTGCGCCCAAAGGCATCCTGGTGCCACACCTGGACGTGGAGCTTGGGCCAACCTGCCGGGGAACAGAAAAACAGGTGAGGAGTGTGGCACCAGGGAGGGCTTCACGCGACACGCTACCCTCAGGCACACCAAAGGAACCCATGGCCAAGTCTGCTTTGTACGTTCTGCCCACAGTGCTGTTTGGTGGGAATGTTTATTTTAATCTTGTAAACCACCTAGACCACTATTTCTCCATCTCAGCA